AGTTGTCCCCACTCCTCCTGGGTGAAAGTCACAGCTACATCCTCGAAGGTCACAGACCCCTAGAAAGTCAAATAGAGGGAACACTGTTGGTCGTGGGGCTGTTCCAAGAGACAGGAGAGTCTGTTTCACTGAAAAACATGCAAAGAGATCAAGGCCTAAATCACATGGTGTTTCCCAAGGGCCATGCTCTATGCTGGGCTGGAGAAGGAAGGAGGAGCTGCTTCAACATAATACCATGTAAGGGAAAGATGCTGCTTRTGCAAGAACAGTCAATGGGATCAACTTCTGCACTGTGAGATGTAGACAGAAGGGCTCTAGGACATCAGAGGAGTGAGGAAACAATGATAATGACCCCACCAGTGCAATCTGCATCTTCCTGGTGCAGGCAGGTGCTGCCCCAGGCTGAGAACATTCTGTGTTCAAATGACGGCCAGTCCCCAGCTCAAAGTCAGATCCATAGAGTCTGAATCCAAACATCAAAACTGTCACTTCCTATTTTTTYTGCTTAAGAGACTTCTATCCTTTCTGAGCCTACATTTTTAGATCAGGAAAACAGATCCCACTTGACCAGTAACTGTTGTGAGACTTTAAGACAAATTATCCACTGTTTAGTGTTTTGGGAGGGGATTTTCTCATCCTTCCACAGTGCCTCACCTCCTCTCATCAACCTTAATATCACAGTAAGTGACCTGGGGCTTAAGAAGCTTCACCAATTCACACATCTTACCACCAGAGGCAGAGTACAACAGGTGACTGGTCCAAGTTGGGCGTGGAACCCTGACAGGTCTTCAGGTCAGAGCGACTCTAATGCGCTGCGGTTGTGCAGCACGTCCACCCGTTACTGATCCTAAGTATGTTTAAGTCATTCTTGGAAACAGTTAACGCACACGTGGACCGAGGAGGCAGAGCCTTCCGCCCTCACCAGACAGCACCAGGAGCGTTGGCATCCACCTGGAGACAGGGCCGAGGCCGGCTTCCACGTCCCTGGGCGCTCTGGGCCTGTCAGACGCCAGGCACACGCCAGTTACCGAGCACCTTTCCCCCTGCTAGACGCCGACGGCCCTGCGCCAGAGCAGGGACTTCAGGACCTGGGCGCACGGGGCAAAGGGCCACCGGCCCTCCGCCCTCACTGGCCCTCCGACCTCGGGCTGCTCTCGGGCGGGGCACGTCTCCTCTCCGCGGACGCCCTCCCCTCGCCCGGCCCAGGCGACCGGAGCCAGGAGGCCGGTGCTCACCGCCGTGTCCGAGGCCGCCCTCCTCCGGAGCCGCACCGTGGGGCCGCTTGCACTCACCCGCGCGGCCATCGCGGGCCCACGGCGCGCTCCGGACCCGGCGGCCGGGCAGCTCCCGGGAACGGCGCGCCGGCCCGGCGACCCTGTGACCGCCCCGGTGCTGAGGACGGGCGAGGCGAGGCCCGCGGGCGGCCAGGACTCACGCCGCAGGCGGAGCGGCCGAGGGGACGGTGCCTGTGGCGCCGCGTCCGCAGGACGAGACCGGAACTCCAGAGCCCCAGGCCTCGGAGGCTGAGACCAATGGCGCGACGGCCACCACCCGGAAGTCCCGCCCCGGCACGGCCTTCCGGGAGGCGCCGGTCGCCGGCCGTGATTGGCCCGGCGCCTGCGCTCGCGCGGAGCACAGCCTTCTGGGTAGCGTAGTTTACCCTGCCGCGCAGCTGGGGGCCGGGACTCCCTGCGTGCCTGAGGTGGACACGGGGCACCTGCCGGGAGACGGGGCGGGAGGCCAGGCGTCCCTGGTCAGCAGGGCCAGCGTAGAGGCTGCGCCCGCTCTGCAGCGACCTGGAGACTCGTCCCTTCCACCCGAGTGTCTGGGAAGGCTCAGGTGCCACCGCTGGGCGGCGGTGGAACCGTCCCACAGGTGTAGGCTCGGACCGTCTCACAGCGGTGGGTCCCTCGCAGGCCGTTTGTCGCTGGGAGGGTGCCACCTAGGGGATCGTGGGACCCCAGTCTCTTCTTTTTTCCTTGTGCCAGCCATGAGTGAAGGGCTTTGCCTGACCACGTACTTACTCCATGGTGTTCTGCCTCCTCCCAGTTCTTAAAGCAATGGGTCCACATCAGGGACAGCAACCTCCAAACGGGAGCCAAAATAAAGTTTTTCTCCTTACAAGTTGGTCACCTCAGGCACTTGTCACAGCTTTGAGAAGCTGTGACACAGGCGAATGGGACAAAAACCTCAACGATTGATGAATTTGGGTGAACGGCACACACACACACACACACACACACACACACGCTTGCACTTACAACTTTTTTTTTTTTTAAATATAATTTTGAATTATACCCACATTGGGGAGGGTGCAGAGACAAGATGTTCTTCACCTCCACTGCTCTTTAATATTCTGCTCTGGCTGACAAGATCTCTTCTGAACTTCTGTAGTAGTGTTATAGCCTGCGTTTTTACTGCTGGGTCGAAAGAACTGACAAGAACAATTTTAGAGGAGGAAAAGTTTATTTGGGGCTCATGGTTTCAGAGGTCTCAGTCCATAGATAGTCGGCTCCATTCCTTGGGAATGGAGTGTGAGGCAGAACATCATGAGGGAAGAATTGTGGAGGAAAGTGGCACAGGACATGATGCTATGAAGCAGAGAGAAGTTGCTATGGAAGGACAAAATAAAAGCCCCAAAGGCAAGGCCTGGAGACTCACCTCCAACCACACCCTTACCTGCCCATTGGGGATTAATTAAACGGTTAGGTTCAGGTCTCATAGCCTAATCATTTCACCTCTGAACCTTGCACAGCCCAATCATTTCACCTCTGAACCTTGCATAGCCCAATCATTTCACCTCTGAACCTTGCATAGCCCAATCATTTCACCTCTGAACCTTGCATAGCCCAATCATTTCACCTCTGGCCCTTGCATAACCCAATCATTTCACCTCTAGATCTTTCATTGTCTTACACATGAGCTTTTGATGGACACCTCACATCTAAACCAAAGCAAGTAGCTTCCTGTTTTTTCTGCTTCCCTCCTCACCCATGTGGAGTTTATTCTTGCAGCACCTCAAGTGAGCCTCTGAAAACTGTGATAAGTGCACAGGAGGAAAGCCAGTATGGATCTCATAATCTCTGCCTCTGGGTGTTCAAGCTCTTGAGTGTGGGTCTAACTTGTGACTCAGTTCTGAACATATAAACTAGGCCAAAATACTGGAATGCATATGATTATGTGTATATGGATGTGTCAATTAAGAGAGGACTCTCATCTTGCTAATTCTCTCTCCCTGTAGACTTGATGAAGCAAGCAGCTATGCTAGTAAACCCACATATTGTACTGTAGGTGGCTTCCAGGACTTTTATCAGCACACAGAAACTGACATTACCAGCGCTTATATTGCAAGAAAATAAGCACTAGTGAAAAGTCAAGATTTTCAAGCCAGGCATGGTGGCACATGCCTCCTGGGAAGCATCCTCAGAGGCCAAGGCAGGAAATTGCAAGTTCAAAGCCAGCCTCAGCAACTTAGCAAGGCCCTAAGCAACATAGGGGGACCCTGTCTCAAAACAAAAATTGAAAAAGACAGAGGATGTGGCCTAGTAGTTAAGCACTCCTGGGTTTAGTCCCCAGAAAATAAAGTGTTAGCTCCAAAGGTCATAGTTTTCTTTACTGCTGTATCCTAATTCATGAGYGATTTTGGCACAGCAGTCACACTGTAGATACCTCAGTACGATCTCCTGAAACCCTTGCCCTCAGCCTTGGAAAGTCGTGAGCGTTTTGGTTGTTGTTGTTGTATTTAGACAGTGTCTCACTCTATTGCCCAGCCTGGGCTCAGGTGATCCTTCTGCCTCAGCCTCCCAAGTAGCTAGGATTATAGGCACTTTCAACCACATCTAGCTGTTAGCTTTTTGATCATCTGGCTGTACTATAGCTCATTTTCTCATTTACCAACGGAAGGACATATTGTTTGTTAACAAGTTTAGGCAATTATGAATGATGCTGGTAAATTATGAATTATTTTCAATTATGGAAACCCATGTCTGAGTTTTTGGTGGACAGTTGCTGGATTCCATAGTAAGATTACGTTCAGTTTTGTGAGAAACTCCCAACTGTCTTCCACAGTGCATACCATGTTGAACTGACACCACAATGAAGAATCTTCACTGGCCTTGTCAGGAGTTTTGGGGGGAGGCACTCTGGGAGGGGTTAGTGGTGGCACATTAGCTTAATGTGAAATGCCGTAAGGCTACATGAGGTTCAACGTCCTTTTCTGTGCTTACTTGCCATCTGTCTTCTTGGTGAGATGTCTGTCATCCATGCCTGTCATCCCAGTGACTCAGAGGCTGAGGCAGGAGAATTGCAGGTGGGAGGCCAGCCTCAGCAACTTAGTGAGACCCTCTCTCAAAATAAAACATAGAAAGGGCATGAGGTTTAACTGAGTGATAGGGAACCCCTGGGTCCAATCCTTGGTAACCCCCCAAAAAAACTTTTAAAAGAAAGAAAAGACTGGGCTGCAGTTGTAGCTCAGTGGCAGAGTACTTGCCTAGCATGTGTGAGGCACTGTGTTTGATTCTCAGTACCACATATTAAAAAAAGGGTCCATTGACAACTAAAAAATATATATTATAAAGAAGAAAAAAGACTTACCTTTACTCCACTGTATTGCTTTTGCTCCTCAGTGGATCATTTTGCTATATCTAGGTGTCCATGTAGGTCTGTTTCTGGACTCTGTTCTGTTCCATTGACCTCTTGTCTGTTCATTCATACCACAGGCCTCAATTACTGTGGCTTCATAGTAAGTCTAAAGTTGAGAAGGCTGGGGTGGAGCTCAGTAGTTTTGCCTTGCCTAGCAAGATGAAGAGCCCTGCATTGGATCCCCAGCGCTGCAAAGAAACACCTACTCCCCAATAAAATTCTCTGGGTTGGGGGCTCACAGACTACATCCCCAAATGTTTGCATACACCTCCAAATTTTTGAAGGTTCAACTCAAAGACCCAGCCTCATTTAAAATTTGAATATTTCATAAAATAACTTGGAAGGATTTGTACTAAACCGGAGAAGTCAGCTTTGGTTTCTTTTTCTTTTTCTTTTTTTTTTTTTTTTTGCAGGATCAGAGGAGGGAAAAGCTATTTACAGTAGTCAATATTGAACTTGGGGTGCTCCTCTACTTTGCCACATCCCTAGCCCCTTTTTGTTTATTCTTTTGTTTTGAGACAGGGTCTCACTAAGTTGCTGAGACTGGCTTTAAACTTGGGATCCTACTGCCTCAGCCTCTGAATTGCTGGGATTCTAGGCATGGCCACCATGCCTGGCTGGTTGCCTCGTCTTACAGTCTTGGTTTTGATGTACTCTCAGTTATTTTACACCTCTCACCTTTCCAAGAGCATCTGAGAGGCCATGGTAGTGTTGTAAAGGGACGGGAGGAGACATGAACTGATATTCAGGTCCCTGTGCATGAGTCTCCTCCAGAAACACATGACCTGAGTCCAGGGGGGTGGCTGCAGATGTCCAGGCTGAGCGACTTACATGCACACTCAGAGGAGAAACAAAGGCAGGTCCAGCAAAACACACATGCTGGTGATTGTGGGTAGTCGATATGGGCTCAGAGAGGTGTTGTTGGAACCTCGGGAAGGACATGGTTTCCACACTGAAAACATGGCCCTAAAACTACGCTTTCCACGAGCACCTGACCTGAATGCCACCCAAGGGTTTTAAACAGGAAAGTTTGGATATGAACCCCATTAATTTAATTTCTTGCCACATTTATGCAGTCCAGACCTGGATCGACATCCAGAGAGAGCTACAGAGAGAAAGAAGCAGGCAGCAGATGGGGTAGGTGCCCAGGGGTTGTGGGATTCAGTGACCCTCCAGCTGTCACTGCTGWCTGCCATCCTTTCAAGACTTGGCTTCTCATTCTCTGTGGAGCACCATCTTCTCTAGTTTGTGTGACTCTCAATTTTACTACCAGGGATTAAACTGAGGGGTGCTCTACCCCTGAGCCACATTTACAGGTGGGCACTAGTGCCTGGCTAGTTTATGTTATTCTTACTGGCACAATCAACATTTGGGGCAAAGCCTTCCAGGTTACATAATAATCACTTATGCACCCCCGAAGTCTTCCTTTGGGCAATGGGGTCAAAACCAGGCTCAGGCACAAAGACACTGAGGTACTTCCTGGGGCATCAGGGTCTGCCCTGATGTCCTGGCTGCAGGGCCCAAGGCTGAGGTCTCCTCCCCAGATGGCTGTTGGGAGCCATTCTGGACAGTAGCTAGGCACACACGTTTAAAAGTCCTGAGTAAAGGGGTACTAAATAGTTATTGCACCTCACAATACATTGGATTTTTAGCCCCACTTGAATAATGAGGTGTGGTTCCAGGTGTGGGTGTCACCCGGTGAGGTTAAGTTACACTCACCTGCTCCT